GGAATTGGGTCGGAGTCAGGAGCTCTAGAAAAGCCAAGAACTCTGGAAAAGCCAAGAGCTTTCTGGGAATCCAACTTCCGTTCCTGCACAGACTCCAACAGTTTCTTCGTGATCATCAAAGACTATGACTTTTGCGTGTCTTCTCTTTCCTTCCTTCCTTCCTCTGTTTCTTTTTCCCATTTTCAAGGCTCCAAATATTTCTTCATTGCTGAATGAACAGAGCCTGCGTCACTGCATTTCGATGCTTTATTTTTCTTTTGCTTCGTTGGGATTCCGCTTCTCAATCATTTTCAACTAGAGTTCATCTCTTTGTATTACAGATGCTGCTGTTTTTCTGTCTTCTTTGAAGTCTAAAGCTTCCATTTTGCATTACATTTCCTCGAGCTAAGATTTCAATTTCCAGCTGCATGATTTTCTGGTTTCTAGCGGAATATTCGATGATCTGAAMGTCAAATTCAGACTCCCATATAGTCATCTGTTGGGTCATCCACTATGTTTCATTTGAGCCTCATGTAATGGATTGCTCTACTTTGTAGTAATCACCATTTTCTAGCTTTTATGTTTTTGACGAGTATAACATTGTTCTTATTTGATCCACTGAAAAATGGTTCCCAGTTTTTTTCTCAATACTGTTTCTTGTCTGATCCCAGAAGAGAAGGATCCATTGTACTTGGACCTGTGGCATGCATGCACGGGCCCCCTCACCGCTGTTCCTCGAGTCGGTGAGAAGGTCTTCTACCTCCCACATGGACAAATCGATCAGGTTCTGTTTTCTCCTGTATCTCTTTCACTGTTTCATTCCTGTGATCTGAGAATTTAGTGCTGTACAATAATCATTTGTTTTTTCTTCAGTTTGTATTGACTATCTAAATCTTTGTAGGTTGAGGCCTTCTCAAAGCTTGATAATGATCTGAAAATGCTCATCTAACATATASCTTCCAACATTYTGTGCACAGTTGTAAATGTTGAGTTAAAGGTCTGTCTCACTGTCTGTCTGTCTGTGTATCTTTCTCTCTCTGCTCCCCACCTTCAGTTCGAGTGGGAGGCGATCGTTATTTCGTTTTCTAATAACGTTCTTGGCCGGTTTTTTCTTGGTTTACTGGCGGAAAAGGAAACAGATAGGTGTTCGCTCAAATAACACTGCTTCCTGAAACGAAGGTTGTTGGGAAAAATAACAGAAAACAAAGCCACTTGAATTCAATTTTTTTCATATCAAAAAACAGTAGAGGTCCAAATATATAGATTTACAGCTGAACCAACTTTAGCTAAAAATAAGCAACTAAATTAGAAAGTGGATAACATGGCTCACTAACTCAAAATTAGGGCTGTTCACGGGTCGGGTCGGTTTACTGGGGTTTTCCCAACCGACCCGACCTGGTCGGGTTACCTAAGGTGGAAACCGAAATCAATCTATTGATAGGCAAAATCGACTTGATTGGTTTGAGTCAGGTTGGGTTGGTTTTGGTTTGCTCCTGTACAAAAAGGATAGAGAAGCCTAGAACTAGAAGGAAATTTATTTGAGAAGATGGGAGAGTTGGGAGAGCCAAGTTCAAAAATCATATGATGTCTTGAATTGAGGACTTGAGGGGGGCGGAGCAAGTTAGAGAATAGAAGAGAAGACAAAAGTTATCAATAAAATAGAAAGTCAAACTATTTTATAGAAAGAAGGCTGAAATATTTATATTTCAAGAAACTTTCTAAATTCTAATCCATGTAAAAAAGGACACCTAATTTTAGTTGTAATTGCCTAATGGGCTGTCTATTTGGGGTAAAAGATTATAGAAACTAGGATAGATATAATTTAGGTAAAAAATGATACCTAATTCTAATAGAAGACAAAAGTTATTAATAATGGTTGCCTTGTTGTCACAAAACACTTGAGTTGCACCTTTTTGAACTTGGCAAAAATCAGTTAACAATCTCCTTAGCCAAACTGCTTGACAAACTGATGTTGTTGCAGCAACATATTCCGCTTTTGATGATGACAAGGCCACGATCTCTTGCTTCTTTGAACTCCATGAACCTGATTCTTTTGAGTACCAAATTCCAAAATTAACAGTTCCAGCAACATAACGAATGATCATCTTTGTTGCTCCGAGGTGATGCATTGTTGGGGTATGCATAAACCTAGAGACAACGCTGATAGGGAATGCTATATCAGGCCTTGTGTGAGACAAGTAATTCAAATCGCCAACCATACTTCTGAAATACTTTGCACTCGCCATTCCGGTGCCATCATTAGCTATGAGTGTCTCATTCACATTCATGGGAGTTGGAACTGTTTTGCAGTTTAACATATTGAACATTTTCAACAAATCATTAGCATATTTCCTTTGGAAAATAAAAATCCCATCTGCACTTTGGTTCACCTCCAAACCAAGAAAATAATGCAACAAACCCAAATCTGACATCTCAAATTTTTTCATCATGCAAGACATAAATTCTTCAACAAGAGACTCACAAGATTCCATATAAATTATGTCATCAACATAAAGACACACCACCAAAAAATCAGATTTACCTYGCTTCTTCACATAAAGCGTTGGCTCATTTTTACTCTTTTCAAATCCATTCTCTTGAAAGTAGGAGTCTATCTTGTTGTATCATGCTCGCGGGACTTGCTTTAGGCCATATAAAACCTTCTTTAACCTGTAAACTTTGCTGTCATCGCCACTAACAAAACCTTCAAGTTGAGAAACATACACCTCTTCATCAAGTTATCCATTCAAAAAGGCAAATTTAACATCAAACTGGTACACAATCCGATTTAATTGTGTAGCCAAGGTTAGAAAGGTTCTCACCGTTTCAAAGCAAGCAATCGGAGAAAAGGTTTCTTCGAAGTCAACACCTTGTTGCTGAGAGTACCCTTTTGTCATCAACCGAGCTTTGTGTTTCTGTATAATACCGTTAGCATAATACTTTGTTCTGTACACCCACTTGAGCCCAATAACATTCTTGCCTTCCGGTAGATTGATCAACTCCCAAGTTTCATTTCTTTCAATAGCCAACATCTCTTCTTTCATTGCATCCTGCCAAACTTTACTTTCTGCAGCTTCATCATAACAAGTGGGGTCAGAAACATACAAAGCAAAGCTACATGAAGCATAAATATCTCTCAATGATCTGAATTTCTTGGAGGTGTTTCACTAGAGGAACTTGAAGATGAGGATTGCAAGCTTTGTTGGAGTAGATGTACTACTGTTGTTGGGGGGAGATGAGTAAATGGTTGAGTTGTTGCTACCAGCATATGGACTAGCTGGTTCTGGAGGTTCTGTAACAAGAGTTATACTAGCATCTTCTGTAACTTGTGGTGTTGTTGCATTGTCGTTGTTCCAGGCCCATGTTTCTTCTTCATTGAACTTAACATCCCTACTAATAATTACTTTGCCACTCACAGGGTTATACAACCTATATGCTTTGGATAGAGGACTATAGCCAACAAAAATGTATTTTTTTTTATTTTTCATCAAGTTTGTTGCGGGTTGGAGAAGTAACCAAGGCATAGGCTATACAACCAAAAATTTTTAAGTGGCTTACCCATGGCTTCCTGCCCTTCCAAGTTTCATATGGAGTCCGGTTCATGACAGCCTTTGTAGGTGAAATATTGAGAAGATAAACTGTTGTTGCCACTGCTTCTACCCAG